TTTGCGTAGACTTGCCGGGAAAGTTGTGAGTAGCCGCGTTTACGAATCAATGGGTGATTTATTAAGACCTACACAAATGGGATATGCCTCCAAAGGTGGTATTGAAGCTGCTGTTCACGCCACTCGTTCTTTTATTTCGATGGCGAAAAATACGCAAGTATTATTGAAGCTGGATTTCAAGAATGCCTTCAATTCTGTTTACCGAGAGAAGCTCCTTCAAAATGTTCAAAAATATCTGCCACAATATTATAAATTCATTTGGAACTTATATCGTGACCCTACATCACTAAATTTTGGAGATTTTTCACTAAATTCTCATCGTGGAATTCAACAAGGCGACCCTCTAGGCCCTTTATTATTTTGTCTTGCAACAAAGGATTTAGTCAATTCAGTAAAATCTCCTCTCAACGTTTGGTATCTTGATGATGGAACAATAGCTGGAAATGTCAATTCTGTTCGAGATGATTTTGAGAATATTCTTAGAATGGGCAAAGAAATTGGTTTGGAATTGAATATATCTAAATGTGAAGGCTTCATTTATGGTGGTGATGATTTTTCGAAGAAAAAAGTACTCATGGCTGTTGAACAATTTGCCCCTGGTATTAGATTCCCCACGCATGATTATCTGTCACTTCTTGGAGCTCCTTTATTACCAGAGGGAATCGCAAATTCGATTAAATCAAAAATTTCATCAATAAAATTAATTTCAAGCCGTTTACCTCAACTCACTTCACATCATGCTCTTTTCATCCTTAAAAATTGCCTGGGAGCTTCAAAAATTCTGCATTTGATGAGATGTTCTCAAACATGGACGAGAAAAAAAGAACTATCTGATCTCGATGACATCCTGCGTTCTTGCCTGGTATCCATCACCAACACTAATTTGGATGATCAAGCTTGGACTCAAGCAAGTTTTCCAGTGAATAAAGGTGGTCTCGGAATACGTCGTACAGAGGAACTAGCTCTCCCAGCCTATTTGGCTTCGGTTCACTCTGTTGCCGGTCTGGTTACCAGTATTATTCCTGAGTTGGTGGTCGAGAATGAAGCTTCCTCAGCAATTAGAGAGTGGTGCAGATTAACTGGGTTACCTTCACCTTCTACTTCAGTTCAAAAACTTTGGGATAGTCCACTAGTAAATAAAGCTTGGGACAGAATCATATCTTCCGCCTCCTTCCGTGATAAAGCTAGACTTCAGGCAGTTTCATTGAAAGAGTCTGGATCATGGCTCAATGCATTCCCAATACCTAGCCTTGGTAATTTCCTCGATGACAACTGTCTGAGAATTTCTGTTGCATTACGTCTGGGTGCAGCATTATGCTGTTCATATAAATGCATCTGCGGTACTGATGTTGATGTATATGGTCATCATGGATTGAGCTGCAATAAGAGTTCAGGAAGATACATGCGTCATTCAGCAATCAACGATGTGATTAAACGAGCTCTCATCTCTGGAAACGTTCAAAGTATCCTAGAACCACCTGGATTGTGCCGTGATGATGGTAAACGACCTGATGGAATGTCATTGATACCTTGGAAGCGTGGAAAAGCACTGATTTGGGATGTCACCTGTGTAGATTCTTTAGCAGATTCCAATATAGTTTCATCTATCAAAGCTGCTGGAACCCCTGCATGTGAGGCTGAGAAAAGAAAGTGCGGAAAATATAAATGTTTGGAAGACAAGTTCATCTTCATACCATTAGGGTTCGAAACTTTTGGACCTTGGGGACCTTCAGCCAAAGAGATGATTTCAACTATTGGCCATTTGATTTATTCTCAAAGCAGTGAAGCTAGATCTACTGAATACCTTCGCCAAAGAATTTCAATTGAGATTCAGAGAGACAATGCTGCTTGCATTCTCAACACTATACCATCGAGCAAAGGTCTCGAAGAAATCTTCTATATACTTGGTGATGCATTTCCAATAAGAACCCGGACTTGTGCAAGCAGATCTACACAAGAAAATCCATGTAAACTCGTTAAACCCATCCATGCTGTTGATCTCCCACCCACGCCAAGTGTCGTTGAGTCATATTCGAGTAACCTGTCAACCTATTCAACACCATCTGGTCAACCATCTGAAAATCAAAATTCAACATCGATATATCTCCGATCCAGCGATGAAAATTGTGGATACTGGTTCAATGACTGTCCAATATCCTGGAAGAAATTTGGTCTTAACGGCTTGAGAAACACTGGGAACACGTGTTTCATGAACAGTATCATTTAGTGCATGTCTCACACTAAGTGGTTGTTGGAGTATTTGATGATGGACTTATATAACAGAGATATCAACACAAGCATATCCAGCACGAAGGGATATTTGATGAAGGCTTTCGCAGAAGTCATAAAAGAACTGTGGTCGGAAGATTCGACTGACCAAGGTGTCAATATGAACTCTTTGAAGTGCACAATCCAAAAATTTGCGCCGTGCTTCATCGGTAATGCACAGCAAGACGCACAAGAGTTCATGCGCTCTCTGCTCTTGGGTTTGCACGAGGATACCAATAAGGTCATCGGGAAGTCCGATTCTGAGTTCACAGATATCGTAGAAATTGTGGATGTCAACGAAAAGGCTTTGGAATCGTGGTCGAGATTCTTGAAAGTGGAGAATTCGGAGATAGTCAATAATTTCGTTGGTCTGCTTAAGTCTTCATTGAAATGCACGTATTGTGGCTATTCCTCAGTGAAGTTTGATCCCTTTTGGGATTTGTCATTGCCAATACCACAGCGAACGCGCCAACTAAGTTTGTTCCAGTGCTTGGACTCATTTACCAGAGAGGAGTCATTGGATGGCGAAGACAAGCCTACTTGCTCCAAATGCAAGGAAAGGCGAAAATGTACAAAGTCATTATCTATCCAGAGGTTTCCTGAAATTCTTGTCTTCCATCTGAAACGTTTCTCGCTGGATCTGTTCGTAGAAAAACTGAACGTCACAGTTGATTTCCCTTTAGAAAAACTGGATATGAGCTATTACGCAGCCGATGGAAGTGTACCGTTCCACTACGATCTATATGCTATTTCAAACCATAGCGGTACCATCAACAGTGGTCACTATACGGCCTACTGCAAACATCCTTACTCGAACATCTGGCACGAATTTAACGATTGTCGTGTTTCTTCAATTTCATCAGATTCGATCATCAGTAACAAAGCGTATTTACTATTTTATCAGAAAAATACCCAAGTTGTAACAGCCACCACTTCCACAAGCAAAGGCTGCTCTTCGAGCACCAAACCCGATCAATTCTCAAATATCACCCAGTCGCAAGACAACACCAAGTTTATCCTTGATGATTCCAGGAAAAGTTTTGCTTCGGATCTAGGTATCAACCAACCTAGTTCGAAAGATGGGCATGTGGGATCTTCAAATTTAGTCTCATCTACTGAGTCAAAACCTAGGAGGAGAGGAAGGCCCAAAAAAAAGCCTTTTAAAGATGAACTAGAACTCTTGGTGAATAGGCCAGCACATCATGAATCAGGCAGGCCGAAACGCATCTGTGTTGGTCAATCTACTCAGCATGAAATCGCCGGCCAGCACTCTGAAGATTCACAAGAATCGAGGTCCTATAGTTGTCGAGGCTCTTGTTAGCATGAACCTGGGGCAACTATATATTTGGAACTTCAAATTTTTCTTTCAACTTCATGATATGTACTTATACATTAGTGTAACAATTTATTTTCCTCATTATTTATCAATTTCCGGTGGATCCGACACTGTTCATAGTGTGAAATCTACTCTGTACTATTATATTTAGAGAAATAAAAAAATCATTAACTCCAGATCAACAATACCAAGGAGTATCTCTTCTCGAACCGGGGATATCAGTTGGCCCCCCTCGGACTTCCTACCTAACTGGTTGACTACGCGGTATGTTGAAATGCTATCGAAAATCACGACGCGTTTGCACTAAACTCTGGTCATTTTAATAGTAAGCTTTAAGTGCGTAGCCGCGTTGCTGCAATGCAGGGTACCTGACAGACTGATGAATTTCATCCCCACACTGCAAGCACCATTCCAAATCGTCCCGTTTTATTGTTGAACCCTGTATTTAGTGGATTCAGAATTGAATCGTGTTTTCAAATATTTCTCTGGGGTTTTGAAATCCACTATATATCATACAAATTTTAATTATATCATGTTTGCGAGTTTAGGTGTAAATTTGATATTTAAGCTTTCAAAGAAATGCATTTTCGAATATATATGTACTAGTGCTCAACTCACTTGACATGTTTAACTTAAACATTATTATGGAGACAAAATATGGCACTAATTGTTCCATAATAATATGAAAATTTCAGAAATTTTATAGACAAAAGTGTGTTATATTTCGAATAAGAAACTTCATGACAACTTTTGGTTCGATCGCAAATGCTATTGATGACATTTGTTAAGTATTTTCCCAAATTTTCCGAATTTTACTGAATGAGATATGTGAGAGCATATTATACACTCGTCTTCAACGAACATGTCGCGGTTGAACGGTATGAGCGCTCTTATTTCAGCGATGATCAAGGGAGCTGACACCATCCATGTGCCACATGATCTCTGAAGCCGACTGTACTTATACTGGGTGACAACGAAATTATTGGCCAGGGCGGCATTCAATTGTTTTTTATGTTAGATTTCGTTGAATAGTTCGATATAGTTCCTCGAAACCCATGATATCTATAAAAAACAACTGAATATCACTTTCGTTTTTACCGAAAAGAAACATATATCGAATATTTCCCTAGGAAATGTCTCATTTCAATGACAGTCACAAGTTGACATCTGTCATTAGTAATTTTCTATGTATCAAGTTTTAATGAGAAAGACAACCTTCAATGATTTTTTTAATTGTTAATGAAAAGGAGATGTGTAGTGTGACTTATACTTTGATGTTGATTCATAAAAGTACCAGTACCAAAAATTTGAAGACAATTCAAGAGAAATATTGAACAATATCATTATTTGAAAGTAAATTTCCACTCCATCATACAAAAAAATGTATCATGTTCAGTTGCGCTCCTGGGGACAAAGGCTTGGACGATCTAGTCACTGACGAGGCGATGGACTGCCAATTCATCGAACTGCTCAGGACCGAGGTGTTGCCCCACTCCAAACACATCCCTGACGAGTTCATCATGCAAGTGGTCATCTTGCTCAACAAGGTAGAGTTGACAAACTATCGATAGTGATGCCTATCAATAGGGTCGATAGAGCACTGAAAAAACATATATCTACTACTCTATATATGGCGCATCGCCTATAAGATATCTCATCAAAAATGAGACCAACTGAGAGGTACTTTTTGAATCTATAAGGACGGAAAGTGAAGGCTGGAAACTGCTGAGGTGAGGATCAGATTTTTAGTTGGGTTAGGTTCGTAGATAATTATTCGATCAAATTAAAATATCAAAAATCATCAAATGTTGATAATACCACAGTATAATACCGCCAACTTCGATTTATTTTGTATAAAGTGCTATCTATATATTATGACATTGCGGGAGTGAGTTATCCCCAATGATTGAAGCCATAAGTTTCTTCGTTCAGGGTTCTTTGGGAGTCTAAAATAGAATGTAAATAAGTGTATACATTTGTGCAGGTCAATATATAAACAAGAACATTTGAAAATTCAAACTTACTTATGAAAAGAGGATTCCTGTCTATTCTTTTCTCCGCAAATACTGCATTTCGTTCCACTAGACACGGTTAAAAAAGTTCAGTCTATAAAAAGAAACGAAAACACAAACACTGAAGAATTGTATAACTAAAAACGCAAATATTCGAATTTCAATCACATACGCGCTAAAATCAATTTAAAAATTTGAAATTCGTAATATTGGTTTACCAAGTTTCGTATTATTTTTTCCGTACGTCGGATCAACGCCTATTGGTCGATTTCGTTACCGATAGAGACAGAAGTTGGTCCCACTTTGATATATATAGTAGTAGATATATGTGAAAAAACTCCCGATAATATCGATTGAGCTACTATCGACTTATTGAAATGATAACTTCTTTGGCCCGTTAGACACTTTCTGGGATGGGAGTAAAACGGCAAACTCGCGTCATGGTCACCGCGTACCATAGACCGGTATAATCATAAATGTATAATTTCATAATTTGTTCTACGTCTCCTGTCCGTGCGTGCGCATAGAAAATTATCAAAGTATAGAAACTACGAGAAATCGACATGATGTGTTCTCGATTCTGCTGGTTGGCTGTGCATAGCTCATCCTCATTCACATCATTTTTTAAACATAGGGCGAATAATAAACGTTTCAATTTGAAATTTCTCATTCTCGAAATCTCTGCCATCAATATTGTTCGTTTTAGTTCATCCTTTTCACGAAGGCGTGAAAATATTACAACATTTATATTACTTCATTAAGATTTCCACCTGTCTATCTATCTATCTATCTATTGTCCAAAAGATATTGGAAGTACTGACCGGCCATAGATGTTATCACTTCCAAGGTGTCCTATTATTTAATTTCATTATTTGAATATTACGTGAGCAAATTTCAGCAACACTAAATAGTAGCGAGACAGTACTGTTTCAACCCAATAGGTCTCACCAGCCGCTCTCGGCCTGCTGACAATTGGGGCAACTCTGTTCATCCTGGATCTCTCAGTTATGAGATCTAGCAGTTTAAGAAGTCGGTGGAACACTCAAGTATGTGTCAGGTAGTGCAACCACTCTGTAGCGTATAGACGTAAGGGTCTGTACGTGTGACTATAGATGGCAGCGCCATACAGTCAGCGTGTGTCGCGATCTCTTGATCCTACCTTAGAGCTTTGCAACTAGATGGCTACAACATGACTGGAACTTCATGTTATACCCTGCGTCTTCGAAATGGGTGATATACCCGAAGCGTAGAGTTGTCCCAGTTGTCAGCAGACCGAGAGCGGCTGATGAGACCTGTAAGGTCGAAACAGTACTGTCTCGCTCCTGCTGACAATTGATTTAACAATTATCAAGTAACATTTATCATTTAACAAGTAGCAATTGAAAGTTGAACTTCCTGTTTTCAATGAAGGTGTTTATGCAGACATTTAACAATTATCAATCAACGAGTAAGAAGTTGGCCAACTTTTAACTTTCTTACTGTGATTGAACCAGGTTTTCTTCTAGGGCGCAAGCAAAGCTGGCAGAGTGGAATAATATCAAAATCATAGGAATGGAAGATAACCAAAAAAGAAAAATCAAGGAATCCGCTTGCATTCTTCTAAACGGAGACAATAGCATTGCTTCCTGTTCAGTTGATATAGATAGAACATGGTATTCAATACTGAAAACTGAACATGAAAATTGTAGATTCAAGATCAATTAATGAAAACATCCTGTAACTCATTTGTAGACTAAAATCACTCGTTCATATGCCAACATCAGTATGACACTGAGAAGTCTCTAACTATAAGCAGCAAGTTCCAAAAACATATTTTGCATTTTTATGTTGAGAAAGGGAGCAGATTCGAAACGTCCAAAGATAAGTAAAAATTCGATATTTTTCCAAAATATCTATATTCCTTTCCTCCAAAATTTTTTCAAACAAATTGTCACTGACTAGCTACTGGATTTTTCTTTTAGACTCCCTGATAGAAACATTTGTTAAACGCAGTGACATTTTGGGGCAAACCATCTGATTTGTCCCTCTAGAAATATATTGAAATAATACGAATGCTTTTATTTTATAGAAACGGGGAGAGAAAATCCCAAAGAATCAAGTGAAATGAATATACCTACAGAAGTACAGACAGTATATTTTTAAATGTTTGTATTGATTCCTTTCAAAAACTTGACTTGCAGCAAACATGTTAATTGTAAAGTTGTCAAATGAATCTATCTAAACTACTCAACACTAATTTCGTCGCACACCAAAATGTCGCCCCTGTTATAATGTGAATAACTTTTTTCAGTTCAGAACAATTTGAATTTGGTTCACACTGTTCGATAGCCCAGTCCTTCAGCTATAATCTCGTACTCCATTGAAACATAAGGGTATTCACATAAAATCTCTACATGGTGTTTTCCGACACTGTACAAAATTTCGGAATATTCAATAAAATGCTCTCAAATGGTGAAACATTTTTTTTTCTCAAATTCGACAACAGAGGCATGAAGATGATCTCATCACCTCGAGATGTTTCGCGAATCAACTTCCTATCTCTCTTATTTACAGAGTGATCTCAAAAAATCAACTTTTTGGTTTTGCAGTCATAACTTTTTTCCACGTCAACCGATTTTAGAAATCTTAGGCTCATTTTGAAGATAAAACTTCAGATGAAGAGATCTGAATATCAGAATTGACTCAAGATGGCTATCAGAGATCTAGAGTTTTCTTGAAAGTGACCAAAATCTGGAACGCCCTCCGAATCTCGATTGGGAGGAGAATTGAATGAAAATCAACTTGTTCTCGGAAAAACAATTCATTCTGGATGCGTCCATATTTTCCTCGCTCTCAGTAGTCAAGAAAGTGCGTGAGAAAACACAATTGAAACATGTTCTTGCAGAAACATCAGATCATTTCTCCTCTGTAATGCATGGCCCGTAACCAACGTTACAAGAATCACAGTAAGTGACTGACAAGTCAGGTTAGACGTCGTTTTCGAATCATAAACAGATTTCGATAGTTTCGATGCCGCATCTAACGCGAATGTGGGTGACAACTTTGTTCTCGTTGATGACAATGCGAGGCCGCGTAGGGTTGTTGGTACATCATCGTCCATTGTGATTCTTGTAACGTTGGTAACGGGCCATGCATTACAGATGAGAAATGGTCTGATGTTTTTGCAAGAACATGTTTCAATTGTGTTTTCTCACGCACAATTCTTGACTACTGAGAGCGAGGAAAATATGGACGCATCCAGAATGAATTGTTTTTCCGAGAACAAGTTGATTTTCATTCAATTCTCCTCCCAACCGAGATTCGGAGGGCGTTCCAGATTTGGGTCACTTTCAAGAAAACTCTAGATCTCTGATAGCCATCTTGAGTCAATTCTGATATTCAGATCTCTTCATCTGAAGTTTTATCTTCAAAATGAGCCTAAGATTTCTAAAATCGGTTGACGTGGAAAAAAGTTATGACTGCAAAACCAAAACGTTGATTTTTTGAGATCACTCTGTAAATAAGAGAGATAGGAAGTTGATTCGCGAAACATCCCGAGGTAATGAGATCATCTTCATGCCTCTTCTTCTTCTTCTTCTTCGAAGCACTGGTGGGCGGGTGAATCCCCTGCACGTGGGCCTCCTTATTCGGGCCCATTGTGCGCCCACATGTTACGACATTCAGCTGGGTATGCCGACTGCCTTGGAGAAGTTCAGCAGCTTCCTCAGCTGAATCTCTTTTACGTCCTCTGGCCTCAAAATTATGTGGCCAAGGACAGCCCTCCTCTGATGCGTCAGTGCTGGACACTCAGTGAGGACATGTGATGACGTTTCGTCATCTTCCAGGCACCATCTGCAAAGGGGGTCATCCTTGATCCCAATAAGCTCTAGGTGCCTATTGAGGTGGTTGTGCCCCGTTAGGAGCCCTACTACCATTTTAAGGTTTCGCCTGTTTAGGAATAAAACCTCTTTTGCGAGCCTCTTCGAAGGTTCCTTTATGTGGAGCTTCGATTGTCTCATTCCTGGTGTGTCCTGCCATATTTTGAGGAATTGCTTTCGCAGCTGTTCCTCTATAGAGGACATTGCCAGGCTATTTGGTATTCCCAAAATTGGTTCCGGTCCGACCGCGGTCCGTCCGGAACCGATCTTTGCCAGTCTGTCTGCCTCCTCGTTTCCGGGTATTCCCGAATGTCCCGGGACCCACATGAGGCTGACTTTTCTTGATTTTGCCAGGTTTTCCAAGGCTTTTCTGCACTCGGACACCAATTTGGATGTGATCCTATTGGATTGCAAAGCCAGTATTGCAGCTTTGCTGTCCGAGCATATAGTGATTGGTCTACGACCTCTCATAATTAGGTTTTCTTGGACGCAGGTGAGTATTGCAAGTACTTCTGCCTGGAACACTGAGGCATATTCGCCCAAAGGAACTGAAATTTCTTTACCTGTTTCTTCATTGTATACCCCTGCACCTGAACCGCCCTCAAATCTTGAGCCATCCGTGTACCAGATTGACTCATTGGGAGGAGGCACGCCAGGTGTTGTGTCATTCCATTCTTCCCTCGTAGGGATGACAGTGTTTGGGGCTTTGTTGAAATTCAGAATTGGCAAGGTATTATCCCTTCTCATCATGAGGATGGGACAGTTTTCCTTTGCCTTATTCCATATGAGGGAGTGTCCATGATCTGCTTCTGTTCCGACCCACTGGTTTGCACCGTTGAGTCGGTAAGCAGTTCTCATGGCTTCGTATTGTATGAACAGGTGTAGAGGCGGCAGACCTAACAGAACTTCAAGAGCCCTGGTAGGCGTCGTTCTCAAAGCGCCTGTTATTCCCAGGCAGGCCAGTCGCTGGACTTTATCCAGTTCTCTGTTGGTCTTGCCCTTATTGGTACTGGTCCACCATACAATGGACCCGTACGTAAGTGTTGGGCGTATTACTGCCGTGTATATCCAGTGAAGGGTCTTGGGTGTGAGACCCCATGTTTTTCCAAAGGCTCGTCTGCATGCCCAGAAGCAGCATACAGCCTTCTTAGTGCGGTTTGCAATGTGCTCATTCCAAGTGAGCTTGGAGTCTATTATAACTCCAAGGTACTTTGATGAGCTTTTATATTGGAGACACTTTCCCGAGAGAAATATCTCAGGAAGTGTTCCTATTTTGCGTTTCTTAGTGAATAATACCAAGTTCGCCTTTTCTGGATTGACTCTCAATCCACTGGTGGAACACCACTGTTCCACTTTATTGAGGGCTTCCATTATTGGATTCCCTAGCCGGTTCGCCGATTGATTTTGGGCCATTATTACCAAGTCATCTGCATATGCTTGCGCATATAGCCCTGGCCTATTCAAATCTATGAGGAGCTCGTCTACTACCAGGCACCATAGTAGTGGTGATAAAACCCCTCCTTGAGGACATCCTCTTGATACCTTGGCAGCAACCGACCTCCCACATAGTTCTGCTTTTACCACTCGCTGCGATAGCATGGCCCTAATCCACCTGGTCAAGGTTTGATGGACCCCATGTCTATCCGCGGCATGGCATATCGATTCAAATGACGTATTGTCAAATGCTCCTTCTATGTCTAGAAAGACTCCCATGGCTGAGCGTCCACCAGCTAGCACTCCATCTATCTTATGGACAAGATGATGGAGAGCCGCATCTGTGGACTTCCCAGTCTGATAGGCATATTGTTGTGCATGCAGCGGGTTTATTTGCAGTGGCACATCTCTGATGTATCGATCTATCAGCCTCTCCAGTGTTTTCATGAGGAAAGACGTGAGGCTGATGGGTCTATACGCTTTGGCATCGGAATAATCTGTTTTCCCTGGTTTCGGGATAAATACGATCCTAACCGATCTCCATTCCACTGGTATGTGGCCCAGAGCCAGACAGGACCGAAATATCTTCATAAGCAGGGAAATGATGGTGTCCAGTCCCTCTTGTAGGAGGGCCGGAAATATTCCATCTTCCCCTGGTGATTTAAATGGTGCGAATGTCTTTACAGCCCATCTCACCTTCTCGTATGTAACCACCTTTGACGCCTCTGTTGTCGAAGTTGAGAAAACATTTTTTTTCACCATTTGAGAGCCTTTTGAATATTCCGAAATTTTGCACAGTGTCGGAAAACACCATGTAGAGATTTTATGTGAATACCCTTATGTTTCAATGAAATACGAGATTATAGCTGAAGGACTGGGCTATCGAACAGTGTGAACCAAATTCAAATTGTTCTAAACTGAAAAAAGTTATTCACATTATAACAGGGACGACATTTTGGTGTGCGACGAAATTAGTGTTGAGTAGTTTATCTATCTATCTAAAACATTATCTGTTATCTCTCCAACCAGGGCTCGATCCACTCGGCGACCAACGTGCAAACGGACGGCGACACCGAGATCACGTTGCGCGAAGAATTCGCGAAGACCTGTTTCGAGACGCTGCTGCAGTTCTCGCTGGTCGACGAGGAGACCGGCGAGCGGGAGCGCAGGGAGGGGGAGCGCCGGGAGGGGAGGGAGCTACGGGAGGGGAGGGACGGGGACATGGCGGGCCACTTGGCGGTCACGTCGCTGCTGCACCGGTTCCAGGAGGTGCTCGGGAAGTACATCGAGGACGAGAAGCTGAGCGGGAAGTGTCCGTTGCCCAGGTGAGGGAATGAGGAGGCTTCAGTGGTGGTTATGATAATCTACAGTGTGGAGACTTTAACTGGAATAAATTCCAGCATACGTCAACAGTTTAATGTTTTTACCTACCTTCTGCAAGCAATATCGAGAATATATCTATCCAGGGGTAACTGAAACTAGGGTCCCTTGATGGAAATTGACGTTAAGTCATCTTAACAGGGTACGGACAGATCATAGCTGCATTCTTTTTTAATGATCTAGAGATTTTAGTTTTGTCTACTGCCATCCCTGACATTGCTGTCACGTCACACCCATGGGCGCTACAGAAAATCATTCGAAATTTTGATAATAGGTATGTACAGGAGTACAGGGTATTTACTTGCTGAGGAAGATCATATGGCGAACGAGTCCTGTAATTATGATCCGATTCTATTCAAAATTGGAAGGTATGTGAGGTTTTCCGGGGTTGGAGATGATGATTGTTTCCTCAAACTTGGAAAATTCAAGATGACGGATCCAATATATAGCAAAAGAAATTTCTAATTATGATCTGATTCTATTCAAGATTGTTATCTGGTGGTTCTCGGGGTCGAACTTTATGATTTTTTGTCAAAATTGGGAAATTAAAGATAGCGGATCCAATATGGCGAACGAAACTTGTAATTATGATCCAATTCTATTCAAAAAATCAAAATTTGTATCTGGGGATTTCCGGGGTCGGAGATTAGGTATAATTATTTCGTCAAAATTGGAATATTCAAGATGGCGGATCCAATATGGTGGACGAGTTTTGTAATGAAGATCCGATTCTATTCAAAATTGTTATCTGGGGGTTTTCGGAGTAGGAGATAATGATTGTTCCGTCAAAATTGAAAAATTCAAGATGACGGATCCAATATGGCGAAAGACATAAGTTAATATAATTATTACTCTACCACATATAGAAAATATGTAGGATGCAAGAGTAAAAATAACGTGCCTATACTTATTTGTTACTTTCATCAATAAATTATACGAAAATGACTTTTTATTTAAAAGAGACGGAAAAATCTTATGTATAACATGGGGGTGAAGTATATTGTATTCTTTATTTTCCTGTACATTTTACGTTTTAATTTTTATCAGCCTACTTTTTGTCCTAGACGAAGTTTTATTCATAGTGTGATATTAGTAACTCTATTCATTCTTCTCAGAGTTGGATTTCTGAAAATATATTTAGCACACATGACATGAGTACAGTAGTCTAGATACCCACATCGAGGTTTCCACCATTTCTCAATTATAAGCACATTCAGCTCATAGATAAACTACTGCTCAGCTTGAAATCAGAATTGATTCAATGAATTCAGTCAACTCTGGTATACAGTCTAAGAACAGTCTCTTGTGGTGAAATATATTAAGCTTTCAGTACAATTTATATGTTCCCAAAATCGCAAAGATTATGCTGGAGTATTAAACTCTTAAACTAGAGGAGTGTTCATCTATATCTTGGTATAGTTGAATCAGGAATTCCATATGGAAATAACGTATGATACGCCAGTGACCTCAATATAACCTAAAAAACAGCGAATGTCAAAAATCTAGTATTTATCCCCAGAATTGAATAAGGATGAAACTATATAACTGTTTCACAAACACTTTAGAGTGAGAGCAGACGAGGATCTATCCGTACCCTGTTAAGATGACTTTAAATGTCAATTTCCATCAAGGGACCCTAGCTGAAACCACCCTCAACATGATTTTTTCAAATATAAAAACTAACATTTGACTAGTACGCTGAATTACTCTTCTCACCAGCTTTCCAACGAGGGGTCGCAAGCCATAGGATTGCATTTGAAAAAAACATGTTGGGGTAGATTCCTGCTACCCCTGAAGGGTTATATTCTCCATATTGCTCGCCCATTGTAGGTAAATACATTTGAACGTTGACGTGTCTCGCAAATTTTCAGAAAAATCATTCACTGATGGCGGATCCAAAATGACGGATTTTGTAATTAGGGTCCGATTTTATTCAAATTTGATATCTGGTGGTTCTCGGGATCGGAGATTATGATTCTTTCGTCAAAATTAGGAAATTCAAGATGGCGGACCCAATATGGCAGACGAGTATTCAATTATGATCCGACTCTCTTCAGAATTGTTATCTGGGTGTTTTCGGGGTCGGAGATTATGATTCTTTTGTCAAAATTTGGAAAGAGCAGGATTTAAAAATTCAAGACGGTGGAACCAATATACCGGACGAGTTTTGTAATTATATACCGATTCTATTCAAAATTAGTAAGTGGGCGTTTTCGGGATCAACAATTATGATTCCTTGTCAAAATTAGGGAGTTCAAGATGGTATGGATGGAATTATGTTCCGATTCTATTCAAAATTTCATCTGGGGTTTTAGGAGTCGGATACTATGATTCTTTCGTCAAAATTGGAAAACTTGAGTGAACTAAAAAGAAGTTGGAATGAATGGTAGTTTGAAAAACTAAAGAAACACGCTTTTATAGATAGCAAAGTTAAAAAGAAGTAGAAAATAAATTAATAATAGTGTCTTGATAAATATTGAACTGAAAAAATATATTATAGGGGAGTGTATTATGTCTGTATTATAGAAATAATGTATATAGCAAAACAACGTTTGCGAGGTCTGCTAGTGAGGGAAATAAGTAGATGGTGTATTGGTAAACTGTTCGACAGTGCTTTTGTCTATAATGAACGCCAATGATAGTTTCCATTCAAAAGAATTCAATTTATTGTTTGCCACAGTTATCGTTCGAATCAACAAAGTGAATTATATTCATTATTTCATTTTTTTTTGGGATTCTACCTCCTCGTTTCTATAAAATAAAAATATGAATATTATTTCAATATACGTTTAGGAAGGACAAATCAGATGATTTGCCTCAAAATGTCACTGTGATTGAAGAATTCTCCTATCAGATAGCCTAAAAGAAAAATTCACTAGCTTGTCAATGACAATTTGTATTGAAAAATGTTAGGAAAAGAGAAATAAAGGTATATAGAAAAAATATCAAATTTCCACTTGACTTTGGATGTTTCGGGAATCTGCTCCCGTTTTCAACAAAAAATGCCAACTTTCTGAAAGATAATGTAGAATGATTGTTTTTATTTCCAGGTATCGACTGTCAGAGATCTCATTTGTTCTAAAAGCTTTAACAACATTGATTATATCTATGAAAAAATCAACAGCTGTGAAAGGTATGTATCACCCAAACCTCAGTAATTTCTCATTATAATTGTCCAGCATGAATTTTGATTTTTTTGCATACAAAAATATACTCATTTCAGTAGTAAGTAATTTATTTCATTCTAACAACTGATAACAGCTTTATAACAATTGTTTTTACGTATTCCTTTGATTGAAGAAGGCCTAAGCACGAATATTTTTTCGTCATTCTAGTAGTCGAATCCTATAAATATTTTCATAATATAACACTACTTTGGTCTGCAATTAAATGTATCAATTGGACTGTTTTACAACCCCGTTTTATTCATGACATGACATAATTCCATTTTTGAAGTGGAAAAATGTTTATTCAAGCCGTAGTGATGGCTACAGGGTGAGAACACGATAGTTACTTAATGGCCGTTGTTCTTGCTGAAAACATCAATGGATTTAGTGTGACTGTGATACTTAAATGCTCACTTATGACGAGGGTGAAGAAATTGAATTATTTTTATGAAGTATCTGAAGAACTCGTTCATGTTTCATCACTGATATAAAATTAATGTGATTTTTGCAAACACATCACTGTATATTTTTTTATTTGCAGAAGACAATAAGGCATGGGAACAGCTAATTAGTCTTTACCCGTATTTAGTTGAATGCACGACAACGAGCTCTATGCAAGTGTCTCGGCCGCTCAAAGAAGCTCTGCTACAATTCTGTGATCTACTGCAACCACCGCATAATAAGAATAATAATAATGTTATAAGACTTACAGATTCCTTAATATAATAAACCTTATTTATTCATTTTAGTACCTGTTATGAATTGTCATATCTCTGTATATCCAGATTTTACATTTTAATAATATATCTTTCAGTTAGACTGCCAATCAATTCTGATTCATTTTCCAATAACTTTGAAATCGTGCGACTGCCGTGATCATTTTATAGAGGTGCACTGATGAAAATTATTACATTATTTATCGTTGGCAATTTATAACCACAAAATATAATGTAATATTACACTATTAGTCCTGTAAAAAATTACCATATAAGTATCATGAATTCTTTTACACTATTTATCTAGTTAATTCAATAATCGAGTGAGTATTATTCCAAATGTAAAAACTTCACAAACGATAAGATTTCCACAAAATTCTCAAACACACGACATGTTTCGCTAACACAGTAGCTTCGTCAGGTGATATACTGGTACAATGAACTGAACCAACGTTGGCTTGCTTAACTTTTATATATCCTACTTTCCCAACTTGAAGGATTAGTTACCTGTGGACAGGTTCGATAAACCTTCATTTTCGGAAATAAGGCACAATATCTACATTAAAAGGGTTGATAGCAAATACATAAATACAGTGTGGAGACTCACTAGAATAAATTCTTTAGCGGGGAGGTGAATATTTTTTCTGGAAATTCTCGACATACGTCAACGATTTGATGTATTTACCTACTTTTCGCAAGCAATATCGAAAATATATCCCTCCAGGGGTAGCTGAAACCACCCCTAACATTATTTTTTCAAATGTTACCCTATGGCTCGTGACCCTTCATTGGAAAGCTGGTGGAAAGAGGAATCCAGCATACGCTAGTCAAATTTTAGTTTTTCGTGTGTTTAAAGGTTGCACAACATTGAGATGTAATTTTAAAATTAACTTTTTTTCAACATATCAATCGCTCAAAATGTGTGTTGAGCAATTGATGGCAATTTTTTGCTACAACTGCTATCTACTATTGTATTTCAGTGTTTTTATAGAGCCGCAAAAATAAATGTAGTTTTTTCGCTGTATTCACAGTTCGAAACGAAGTGTTATTGCAAACTGGTGGAAATGCCCTATATCACTGTCACTAAAAGTTGAAAATTCGATGAAAATACGTTGAAAATATATTGAACTTCGAAATTATACAGGGTGTAAATTTGAAAACTTTCAATGCAAATATCTCGCGAGATAAAAAAGTTGGAAAAACGCCGCTTGGCAAAAATGCTAAAGAGTTAAGGGGAACTAGAACCACCATATTTCAGTGAAGGGATGAGTCACCCTGTCAGCGCAACACACCCGAACTTTGAAATGACAAATGGCACTACCTCTTTTGTGATACCTCAAATAAACGGTATCAGTCAGTAGTATTCACCTGTACAAGACTTATTTTCCACCCACTACAGGGTGAACGGAAAACATAAAGTAAAGATATATTCCAAGAGATGTGTTCCAAAATGTTAGAATGGCATTTGAACATCGATTATACTATTGCTTACAACAGAATGGAATGCATTTTGAACATCTGATCAAATAAAATATCCTTTTAACACAATTCATTTTATTTTATTCGACTTAATATTTTTCGTACACCCTGTAGTGGGTGGAAAAAAAGTTTTGTACAGGTGAATACTACTGACTGAGACTGTTCATTTGAGGCATCACAAAAAAGGTAGTGCCATTTGACATTTCAAAGTTGGGGTGTGTCGCGCCGACGGGGATGACTCATCCCTTGACCGAAATATGGTGGTTCTAGTTCCCCTTAACTCTTTAGCATTTTTGCCAAACGGCGTTTTTCTAACTTTTTTCTGTCGCGAAATATTCGCATTGGAAGTTTTCAAATTTACACCCTGTATTTTGCTTTTATGCGACGCCCAAACGTACTACAAACTGAAATATGATCAGTACGCTGGATTCCTCTTTCAACCAGCTTTCCAATGAGGGGTCGCAAGCCATAGGGTAGCATTTTAAAAAAACATGGAGTAGATTCCTGCTACCTCTGGAGGGTTAAATTCTCCATATTGCTCGCCAAATGTAGGTAAATACATTCAAACGTCGACGTGTCTCGCGAATTTTCAGAAAAATCACTCACTCCTTCAGTAGGGAATGTATTCCAGTTAAAGTCTTCACCCTCTATTATTACCTACTAAGAAAACAAATTCAACAGTGGTGAACTTTTGAGGTCTAATTGATCGTTAAGTGTAATGTCAACATTTTTGAGTTTGTTGATTCCTAATGATTCAAAATGATTGAGTTTCATTCCTTTATTTTCTACCTGTAGAATTTCGAAGTAGCTTTGATGATCATTTTTTAAATCATTAGAAATCAACAAACTCAAGAATGTTGACATTTCACTTAACGATCAATTATTTGCCATCAACCCTTTCAAGTTAATCCGGTACACCGTATTTTGATTTTAATGTTGATATTATGCCCAATTTCCTAAAATGAACCTGTCTTATCCTTCAAGTTGGGAAAGTTGGATACATAAAAGTTGAGCAAGCCAAGGTTGGTTTTGCGTTTGCGAAACATGTCGTGTGTTTGAGAATTTTGTGGAAATCTTATCATTTGTGAAGTTTTTACATTTGCCATGGATTTCCATTAAGTAACGGCCGAGTCAATTCAAAACTTTGAGATCTTCAGTAAATAGATATTCCAATATTCCTAATTCACCTGTGAAGCATTGTCGGTCAAATTTCGCAAAACCCTGTATGTAGGGCCATTTGTGAATTTTTCACATGAGTAATATTAGAATGATAATGAGGTAGGTAATGAGGTATGAGATGCACATATTATGTGACATGGTTTGTGAAATACCGCTTTTTGAAATGTATTAAGTTTTTTCAACATTATTTGTAATCACTCAACAGACAATTAACATTATCATCAATTTTTCCAAAATGCACAATTGAAAGACGAGAATTTTCTGTTCAAGGTTGTAGCAATATTTTTAATACTTGTTTTCGCCAGCTGTTTATATTTTTCAGGTATCCTAAACTCACCCAGGCACTATAGCTCGAGAAATAAAAGAAGATGAAAGACAGCAATGACAGCATTTAATACCGGTTAATTTTTCAAAGTGGCTCGCTCCTATAACTTTTTTATTTTTGGAAATTGAGGGTTGTGTATGTTCAATTTACATCTTTTGACATATTTGTTTGCCTTGCCTTACTTCCGGTTTGACCGGAAAAGAGCCCGACTTTTGAATGAAACACCCTGTATATTTTTACCCATTTCTATCTAGAATGACATTTTAAATCTAACAATACCTCACTTGTCAAAATTTGACAGATTGTCATTTTTATTTCAATTTTTATTTTGTAATCTAGAATCTAGTGAATCGCTTCACTCTTGATCAAATAACATGCAAGAAATATGACATTGAGGCTTATGGCTTCACAGTCGTTTTAATAATCATTTGAAAGCCGCAAATATGATTCTATCAAGTTGATTTGAGTTTCTCAAATGGAAAGGGGGGGGGCTCGTCGGCTTTTTATGAAAGATCATTTTCTTACGATCAATTTGATACCACACACTTCCACTTTGTTTTCACCATTTTTCTAAATGATTGCAAAAAGCGATTATACCTACCTACTAACAAATAATAGGCATTCGGTATACTTATGCACTGAGTCCTGTTATTCTGGTTATAGTATACCGAATACGTATTATTATACAATTATTAAGAAACTGTAACGGCACAAGTTCACATCAATAAATAAATAATCTCAAGATGGCACACACGGTACATTGCCATGAACGTGACAACGAAAAAAAAAATGAAATAAAAATATAAATAATTTTGACTCTGACATCAGTCAGAATTATAGAAAGAATATATTTCAAATTAATATTAAAAGGCAACAACCACGGTAAGGAACATAAGTTTTCATGTAACGTGTGCCCATATTTCAATTATATTCGATTTACAGCAAACGGCGTGGTTGTAATTTCTGAATCTGATATCTATCAGAAATCCCTGGACGAGGTTCAGCTGTTGTTAGTCGTACCTGTTATCATCTGCATCGTTCCATTTGGCTAAATAGAATCTGTGAGAGGGATTCTCTGCTGCAAAAGACAGCTATATTGAACAGTTCGTTTGCCCAACCATCAACTATCCTTTTGAATCAATACCTACTTCAACTTTATGGTAAGATTGTTCCAAGTTTTAATCAACTGCTTTTGAGGGAGTGTGAAACTCAGTAATAGTGACCTTTTTCTTGTGCTTCACGACCAATATGGAAAACAGACTATGCTACATATGCTACAGTTCACGATTATTAATTATTATTTCTGTTGATAATGATGATATTGTCATCATATAATCAACTGATTTGTTAATCATTCATTTGCGATATTTTATAGTTAATCCATTAATTGTTACCACCGAGGTTCAGTTTCATAATCATTCATTTATTCATACATCCATTCTAGTTCCATTTAGATATAGTTGAATTTGTGAGGTTTTTGGTTCTGGCAAAATACGATCTGAAATAGTTCAGTTTGTATGGTTATTGATAATATATCTGTGGATATCCGATATTTGAATCTTTCTACCCAAACCCCATAAATTTATATACAGGAAGAGATATTACAAAACATAGTATAAACGTGTGTGGTATTGAATTATTCGTAAGAAAATGATCTTTCACAAAAAGCCCCTTTCCATTTGAAAAAATCGAGTTAACTGGAAAAATTCATATTCGCGGCTATCAAATGGTTATTAAAAGGACTGTGAGGTCTTAAGGCTAAATGTCATATTTTTTCCATATCATTTGATCAGGAGTGAAGCAATTTACAACATTCCATGGCATTCTAGATCGAAAAATGAAAATTGAGATAAAATGACTTCTTCAAATTTGAAGATTGAGGTATTGTTGGATTTAGAATGTCATTCTCGATCGAAATGAGTAAAAATATACCGGAAGTGAGGCAAGGCAAGTCAATTTATCAAATAATATAAATTGAACTATAATGCACAACCCCTAAATTTTGTTTCTCCATCTTCTATAATACAATTATAGGAATGAGCCTTCAATCACTAGCATTGGACTTACAGGCAAGTCTATATAGCACATGATTTTCATCAGTGGGAAGCAGATATGCTTATATTTTCC